GATGGGAAGATATAATTGGGCGGTAGCCCCTCAAAATTTTGGAGGAGTCACAAATTTTTGGAGATATGGAATAGAGAAATCTGAAATAATTGGACTTTAAATAAAGTCCAGTGTAGATAAGGAGCTTATAGAAAATACTTAAAATAGAAAATAGTTTTAGCATTAAAATTAATTTCTGGTTGAGTTGAAGGTACCAATAAAGAGAGTATTTGTAGCTCAGGGTTGAAATGAGGGAGTCTCTGAGCTTGCTTGTTTTTTGCAGATGTTTCACTACCCTAATTAGGTAACATCATTAGTGCTAAGAAAGAGTACAGTTTGCTGTCAGATTATATTCTAAGTGGCTTGCTTGTTAGTGTTGGTGGGGGTGGTCTTAGAGAGTCTTTGGTTGGGCTGTTTACTGTTGGCTTCTTTGGCAATTTCTTGATTGGGGTATTGTTTACTTGATTGTTGGTCTGATACAGGGGTGATAGTCACTTACCTTCGCTACCGGTTGGCAAATATGAGCGCAGAGCTTCTGCGCATGCGCAGAGCATCAAAAATGCGACATGATGACATCCGGATGGGTGTGCGGAGCCTCCCACAGCCGCCGCTACAGGTTCGCCTGAACTGGAATTAACCGGCTGAATACCACCACTGGTCTGATATTAATCTTGGAGTTAATAACCTATACTGATCTGGGTGCTGATCGCTGGTGCAGAGGTGCTTGGGTCTTTTTGTTCCTGGGCTGGATGATAATTTATTTTGCATAGTCTATAGATGTTGTTTATGTCTGTGTCTATTGATGGCTGATTTGTCAGAGGGCCAGGCTTTTCCCTGGCATTTTTGGACTCGTCTTGGTCTAGATGGTCACATTTTTCCATTTGAAACTATGGTTAAATCTGTCTATATGTTATGAATTTTATTTTTAAAAAATCATCATGTCTTCTGAACTGCTGGCTGCTTTCGTGGATGTATTCTGCCAGTCTTCTGCCTGTTTGTCTTACATAGTGGTTGTTGCAGTCCTTACATTGTATGTTGTAGGTCACTCCTACAACATTTTTTCTTTTTTCTTTTTTTCTTCTGGGGTTGTTGGATGTTTTGGTCTGCTTAGAATGTTTTGAAGGGCTTTAAGTTGGCTTGTGTGCTATGCTGATTCCATGTGGTTGTAGTAGTCTGTGGTGGTTTCTGAAATATTCTTGATATATGGTAGTGTAATTCTTTTAAGGGTTTATGTTGGTTGTGTTGTATTGGGTTGAATGGTCAGGGACTTTTTGACAAAGTTGTGTGGATATCCATTTTGTTGGAATATGTTGTATAGATGATCTATTTCATCTTTCCAGGTTGCTGCAGTGTGTTTGGGAGGTTGGGTTGTTGCTTTGGTAGTGGAGCACCTGGTTAGTATGGATGGTTTTTCTATAGACTTGCATTTCTAGTTTGCCATTGTGGTCTCTGCTGATCAGAATGTCCAGGAAGGGTAGCGAGTTGTTGTTTTCTTCTTCTCTAATAAACTGGATTCCTTTAAAAATGTTGTTAATGATTCTGTGGATGTTCTCTTATTGGTCCTTTTTTATTATGGTGAAGGTGTCATCTACATATCTGATCCATACTTTTGGTTGTATTTGTGGAAATGCTATGATATCTATACGTTGCATGATGACCTCCAATATAAGTCCTGAAAGCAAGGATCCCATAGGTGTCCCTTTAATTTGTGGGTAAATTTGTCCATCAAATTGGAAGTATGTAGTTAATCCAGGGTGTTTTAATCTTCATGTATTCAGTTAAGTCAGGTGTGCTGTGGATCCAGGTGGTCATGGATTCTTTGGCTAATTCTGGATCTATACATGTGAACAAGGCTGTTACATCAAATGAGACCATGATTTTATCCTCATCTATAATCACATCCCTGACTGTTTGAAGACAATGTAGTGGAGAGTTAATGGAGTCTTTGCTTCCTCTTGTGAGGTGCCCATGCTTTTTTGTTAATTCTTTTGCAATGTTGTATGTAGGGGTCCCTGGTAATGAAGTGATTGGATGGAGGCATATGTCAGATTTGTGTATTTTAAGGCAACTCTAGAAGTGTGGGAGGATGGATCTACTGCTTCTCATCCACCACCGTTCCTCTTTTGTATTTTGACCTTTCTTAGTGAAATCACTGAGGGTTCTCTTGATCTGATTGTCTAGTTTTTGTATTCTGTTAGCATTGACTGGGAGATAGGTTTCTTTGTCCCCTAGTATTTCTTTTGCTTTTTGTAGTTATTGTGCTCTGTCAATAATAACTGTGATTCAGCCTTTGTCTACAGGTAGGATGATGACCCTATTGGCCTTCCGAAAAGCAGTGAAGACCTGGCTTTTCCGGCAGGCCTGGGGCTGTTGATCTCACTCTTGTGATCTGGCGAGATCCGGCCATGAATGGCGTGAATGAGTTTTTAATGTTTTTAATGTTTTTAATTTTTAAATATTTTTATAATGATTTTTTAAAATGTATTGTGAGCCACCCTGAGTCTTCAGAAAGGGGCAGCATATAAATTGAATTAATTAAATTAAATTAAATGATGGTCTGGTTGTTTTTTATGTTTCTGAGGGCTGCTTTGTCTTCTGTGGTAAGTCGATTCTGTTCTTGTTTTCTTCTGATCTGTGGAATGATGCTTTGTCTAATGTTTTCTTAGACTTCTGTGGCGAGTTTAGTGGTTTTAAATGCCCCTTCTACGGCTGCAAAAAATTCTAGGTGGTTGGCATCACCTATTTAAAAGTTGAATTCTTTTTGTAGGATCCTGTGTTCTGCAGTGGATAGTGGGCAGCTAGACATGTTGATCACCACTTCAGGCTCTGGTGTTTCTTTGGTTCTGGAATTGAGTTTAAGTAGTTTGCTTTGCAGTTCAGTTTTTCTTTTCCCAGTATGTCTATGGGATGTATTTATAATAGTAGTTGCCAATCTCTCCATGTGCTCTACTGTGATAGTCTGATCCAACTATTCTTTGAGGTTTGCTATAGTGTGCAGATATTTGTTTAATCTGAGGTGCAATCAGCACCCAGATCAGAATAGATTAACTCCAAGAATAACATCAGTCCAACAATCAAGTAAATGATATTCCAATCAAGAAACTGCTAAACAAGCCAACAGCAAACAGCTTAATCAAAGAATCTCTAAGATCACCCTCACCAAAAATGACAGGCCAGCCACTAGGATATAAACTGACACTCCTTACTAGGACTGATGATGTTACCTATATTGGGTAATGAAACATCTGCAAGAAAACAAGTAAGCTCAGAGAACACCAAGGACCCCTGAGTTGAAGGTGTTTATAATTTACTGTTCCTCTCTATTTGGAAGTTTCCCCTTTTTAAAATAAAAGGGAGATACTAAAATACTTTCATATATGTCTTGGGAAAAAGAAGTCAATTTCAAACTTCTTTGTGAGGGATTGGGTCTAGAAACGTTGATGCTTTATGTAAGCACCCCAGATGAAGTAATTAATGCTGAGACTTAACTATTTTCTGCCTACTTATATATTTGTTTTAATGGCCATCCTCACTAAGCCAAAACAAGTAGATTCCAAGAACTGAATAACTGTTCAGACATGATCTTGAAAATATTCAACATCAAATTCCTAAGGGAGGAATTTGATAAGAGGTTTTGCCCTAATTTTATGATTTTAAGAATTTGGGTAGAAAGTAAGTTTCTACTGTAATAACAGAACAAACTATCAATCAAGTACAAAGTTGTGCTGAATTATAAATAACAACTTTATTTATAATTCCACATTCCAAATGGACTTTCGAAAGAAGAGAAAAAATGTGATGGAGAGAGATTAATAAATTCTTTACAGCCTATTGGTTAATCTTCCTTCCTTCCTTCACAATGAAAAATCTAACTTTACTGTTAGATATGGTTGCTAAAAGCACCTTTGAGAATGTTCCAAGATGTCATTCATTCCTATTATTCTGCCTGTACCAAATAATATTTTATTTCCTCATGGCCTCGGGGATACAGTGATTCAGTTTGTTTCTGTATCTTCCTTCTTGATTCACAGTTATATTTGGTTTCTCTGTTGTACCAGATTTTCAGTCAACTTGCTGACAGCTCTTCTAAGCTTCAGGATTGTATGTATGATTTACTTGACTTATCACTTTTCAAGGCCGTTGTTGAACACAAGTTTGATTTGAAGTAGGTGGTAGTTAGTTTAAAGCAAAAACACAGATTGAAAAAGTACCAACATTTCTAGTTTGCTAAATATTTAATCCTGAATAATTTACAGCCTTTACTCTCTTACTGGGAAGGAAGCCATACTAAACCCAATAAAGCTTACATTTAAGTAGACAAATATAGAACTATGGTGTAACTCTATGGAATAATGGAATAACAGAGTTGGAAGAGATCTTGGAGGTATTTTAATCCAATCCACTGCACAAGCAGGAAACCCTCTTGTTACTGATGCACACAAGCAGATTGATCCCCTATGATAGATTTAAATACAGATTAATTTGCCCTCCACATTCCATTTCCATTGTTGTTTATAGTCTCCTGCCTTTCTGATGGAGAAAACAGGGGCATCACTGACTAAATAAGGCAAGGTGATAGAGACAAAGGGGGGAAGACAGACACTTCAAATAGGGGGAGAAAAAAGCAATACATTTTAAAGATTTTTTTCCCCCTCTTTCAAACAGAAAACAATGCAGAGCATATATTGCAATGGTTTAAATGGGACAGGTTGAATAATTTTGGTTTACAATCTATTGGTCTTTCCAATCAATGGGATGGATTCAAAGTCTGTCAAAGTTGTGCCACTAAAATCAATGGGATCTGTTAAATTTAGTTCTGTTTATTTCAAGTGGAAATCTATTTCAAGGTCTATCCTAAACACAGTCAAGTCTGCAAATAGGCAGCTTTAGTGACTGGTGTGACATTGGTATAGGTCACAAAGGTGGAGGAGTAGGTGCCCTTTGATAGGAGGATAAGGGTCATCTCCTTGGGAGTTTAATGGCTTTATGACTTCATCCCTGCAGGCTAAAGTGTCAGTTACTGTCAGTTATCAGAGTGAAGATGCCTTCCTAGAGACAAGTTGCTCTTCAATAGGACTCCTGGACTCTGTGGAAGCTTCCTTTCTTTTACAACCAACTCTCAGAGGGGTAAATGAGGGTGAGAGTTTGGGTTAGGTTTAGGGTGGGGTTAGGAGGTTAGGACAAGGGTGAGGGTGAGAGGGTGAGAGGGAGGGACAGGCTGAGAAGGATGATGAGGTTGAGAGTCAGGGCCAGGCTCAGTGGGAGGGGACTAGGAGGATAATGGGTATGGGGAATGGGAGGAAGAACAGGTAAAAGGGGAGGGGGAGGGGAGGTGGAAAGGAAGATGAGGGGGACAAAATGGTGAAATAGGATGGATGGGAGAGGGGGAAGGAAGAGGGGAAGGGGATAAAGGTGGAATGGGCCAGTAGGAGAGGGGAAGGGAGAGGAAGAGGGACAGGACAGGCAGAGAAGGGAGGGTAGACACAAATAGGAAGGCAGGAATTTGAATGTCTTTATGACTTCATCTAGGCAGGTTATTATCAGAGATAAGGGATAGGGAGGGAGAGAGAAGGGAGGGAGAGGGATGGGAAGGAGAGGGGAAGAGGTGAGAGGAGGATAGGAAAGAGGAAGAGGTGGGGGATGAAGAGTAATGGGAACAGGGAAGAGAGAGGCAGAGGCAGGGAGTTCAGGGGAGATAGGAAGGAGACAAGGAGGGGCACAAAGAGGTAGAGTGGGCCAAGAGGCAAGGGGAGAGGAGGGAGGGGGAGAAGGGCAGGGGGATGGGACAGGGTTGGACAAGAAGGGTGAGTAAAAACGCATGGGTGGGCGAATTTTAATGTTTTCATAACTTTATCCATGCAGGTTATTAGAGAAGGGAGAAGGAGGGTGAGGAAAATGGAGAAGAGAGAGGCAGAGGCAAGAGGAGGAGGGAGAAAGGTAGGAGGAAGGAGAGGGGGACAAATAGTTGAGTAGCACAGAGAGGAAAAGGAAAGGGTAAGGAAGGGGAGAAGGACTGAGGAAGGACAAAAGCAATGGAAACCCCATTGCAGATGTCCTTGATGTGTGAAATCAAATACTTTTGTGTAAGCATTGAACAAACTTGGTGTACAAGTGTTTTCATAATTATCATGATTTTCTTCACTTACATATTGCTGAATAGTTTTCCACCAATTTTAATAAAGCTACATTATCCATGTATAGGGTACTTCCTAAACAGTGGTGAAATCCAAATTTTTTTACTACCAGTTCTGTGGCTATGGCTTGGTGGGTGTGGTGTGGCTTGGTGGGCCTGGCAAGGGAAAGATACTGCAAAATCCCCATTCCCTCCCACTCCTGGGGGAAGGATATTGCAAAATCTCCATTCCCACCCCACTCTGGGACCAGCCAGAGGTGGTATTTGTCGGTTCTCTGAACTACTCAAAATTTTCACTACCAGTTCTCCAAACTGCTCAAAATTTCCGCTACCGGTTCTCCAAAACCTGTCAGAACCTACCAGATTTCACCCCTGTTCCTAAAGTATAATATGTTAGTAGTTTACAATCAGGGGGGAGGGGATGACATAGACAGTTTCCACATTATGGTGCGTAGACTGAATTGATCCTTCCCCTTGTAAGCAACTCCATTGCTGTAGGATTACCATCACTCTATCTCTGTCTTTATCATCTCTATTTCTAATCTCTGTCTCTATCTCTATCATCTCCATCTCTATCTCTACCTCTATCTCTATCATCAATCCAAGTCTATATAGCTAGCAATCCACCAGAAGGAACTTTTGGCAAGGACCATAATAAAAGCACAGTACACTGAAAAGACACTTTAAAACAATAAACAACATTAAGACCCTGATAAACTTCACATTCATCTATGAACCATCACTTGCCCGCTCCATCAACATTCTCTTCCCAATGTTCTGGAAGAAAACCAAATCTTAACTGCTGACTTTTTACAATCTGATGTCTTCCTCAGATTGCAATCTCAAGATTTTTGTAAAATGGGGAACTTTGATTTCAAGCAGCAAGTATTACTGTGGGAGTTGCTGCATTCTGCTGATTTTTATTTTCTGAGGCCTTCTATACAAACTATTGAAAAGGCAATTGGTTTGCCTAACTCTTTTTCATTACTATTTTTTTCACAGCCATTAATAGTAAAGGGATCCACTATATGTTATAGAATTCAGGTCCTGTATTGTCCCTGCCAAAACATCTAAATGGACTATTTCATGGCTCGTATGGAAATATCCCCCAAATAATGCCTGCTATGATATAAATCAATTATACTTCTGCACTACATTTAAAGTCAAAAGCAAACATTGCTGAGTCTGCAAACAAGGAATGTGAGGAATGCTACTGGCTTTAATGAGAGAATAACTTAAATGGCTTCAGGAGATGACTAAAAATTTAGCCCCTAGAGCATTAACCAATGCTGAGCAATTAGGACTGTTTTTTGTTTATCAGCATTAAGACTACATTCTGCCAGCTTGTAAATATGCTCAGATCAGCTGGTTTCTCACAGATATCTCTAATAGGAACTGTTGGTAAGTGGCACTTACGATCAAAACTATCCTGCTGCATTTTGGTTTGCTGTTTCAAAACCAAAATTTCCCCATTATAAAACAGAAGCGGACTTTAGCTACATACTGTAGCCCTTAATTCATTGGCCCTACTGTTCAAGCACTGAATAAGCCTACTGGATAATTTGAGCCCTATCTTAGATCATTCTTCCCAGTCTTTAGAGCACTTAAATGAAAAGGGGAGGAAGGAGTGTTATGTACATTATTGTGAACTCCTAGGACAGGGGTGTCAAACGCAAGGCCTGGGGGCCAGATCCGGCCCGCAGGGTGCTTAGATCTGGTCCTTGGGTCCACCCTGGAAACAGTGAAGGACTGGCCCGCAGTGCGTCTGCCAGCAAAAATGGAGCTCAGGACGGCCATAGGACGGTAGTAGGAGGCCATCACAGCCAGAAACAGAGCTCGCGAGAACAGCATGCAGTCCTCCTGAGCTCCATTTTTGCTGGAAGAGGGTTGTAGGAGGCCATCACAGCTGGAAACAGAGTTCAGGAGCCCATTTTCATTGGCAGAGTGCTCAGACTACCACAGGCACCAACACAAGTAAAGGCAAGATGGCCACGCCTACCCCAAGCCCCTGAGGTCAAACACAACCCTAATGCAGCCCTCAATGAAATCGAGCGTGACATCCCTGTTGTAGATGAAGGATAGGATAAAAATCTACCCTACCCTCCAAAATACCCCACAAACAACAAACAAACAAAGCAAACTACAGTGAACATTTAAATAAAGAATTTACTGAAAACTTACTATTGTTTATATTCTTTTTTTTCTTTTCCAAAAAAATATTTTTATTAAAGCTTGAACGCATATATACCTACACCAATTTCTTGCTTGCTAGGACTTCTGTCATGTTTCTGCACTTTTTTCCTATTTCACAATATTTAAGGAGGTGAATTTTGATTATTTTTTCTACCTGTATTTTCAGAAAGTGTTTGTTTATTTCTTTGAAATATTTCTAGACTGCAAACGCTGGCTTACTTAATAAAGTCACAGAGTAATTATTTGGCTTCAATGCACAAATCTTTAAAAGCTTTCTGAAAAATGAAACTCACTAATCTCCTAATCATCCTTATGTTTTTTTATATCCTTTCCTTTGTTCTAGCCTCAAAACCATATAATCTAAGTTGCACAACTTATGATTTATAATATGTCCTGTCAATCATCTATTATAATCAGCTGGATGCTTTTGGCAGAGATAGCTAATAGTTTTGGGGCTCAAGCTGTTCCATCCTATAAAAGTAGGCATTTTTGAAGGTTTAGATAGATTCCTTCATCACAGTTGAAGTTTATCTCTGTAAGGTTGTCATTTAAACATCTGCTAGTACCGGTATGCATATCATTAATTGTTCATTGGTTTGGGATCATGTAATTCTAAAATGTTTTAATAGCTACGGGAAATATTTTGATGCATTTTATTTATTTATAAAATGTATTGGCCGCCCATCTTATCATAGGGTAACTCTGGGTGGCTCACAGTTACATCTAAGCTAAAACATAAAAAGTTAAAAACAAACATTTAAACCAAAGGTGCATGGGAAGGGCGGGGGTGGAAGGTGGAATCTATTATTAATCACTTGAATTGTGCTGTTCCATCACTGGGCCCCCAAACTGATTGGCAAAGCCATGTCTTTGGCTTTGCCAATCAGTTTGGAGTAAAATGCTCCCGGTTCGGACCAGATCCGGTAGCGATGGAGGCAGGTGGTTCGGAGAACCAGTAGCAAAAATCCCTGCCCCCCCCCCCATGCCCAGCTGAGCTGCGTGATCATCGGAGGCTTTTTTTCTTTTAAATGCCTCTGACGAGCCAAGCTGAGTTGCCTGATCATCAGAGGCTTTTTAAAAAATCCTTTTTTTCTTTTAATTGCCTCTGATGATCCAAGCTGAGTTGCCTGATCATCAGATGATCAGGCAACTCAGCTTGGATCGTCAGAGGCTTTTAAAAGAAAAAAAGCCTCTGCCGATCAGGCAACTCAGGTGGGATCGTCAGAGCCTTTTGAAAGCATTTTTTACAACCTCTTCACCAAAGAGGTTGTAGAAAAAATGGTTTTGAAAGTTAAAAAAAAATTGGCCATGCCCACCAAGTCACATTATCCCCCCCCCTGACCAAGCCACACCCACAGAACCGGTAGTAACAAATTTTAGACTTCACCACTGCTTTAGGCCCTTGCAAAAAGATAGGATGGTTGGAGCCAACCCCATATCAGGGGGCAAGATGTTCCAGAGGGCAGAAGCAGCCTTCCTCCTGGACTCCACCAATCAGAATAATTGGGTTTACGGGACCCACATGCCTTCTCTGCCAGCATGAGTGGTATGGACCAGTCCCAGTGGGATGAGATGGTCATGCTATGAATGACTTTAAAGGTGATCATCAACACCTTTGAATTGCACCCGGAAGCTGACTGGTAACCAATGCAGCTTATGAAGCAGTAATGTTACAGGGGCCATTCTTGGGGGGCCCAAAACTATCTCTGCACCAGCTGCATGTACATATTTAAATGCTAACTCTTATCCAGAGAGCTTTAGGTGCATGTGGAGTAGAATGAACTCCTGAGTAAACATGCATAAATGGCTAGAAAAGGGTTTGTGAGTTCCAAGTGAAAGAAGAATTATTAAATTAAATTAAATTAACAGTGTTGGAAGGGACCTTGGAGGTCAACCCACTGCTCACATATAGGAGACCTATACCAGGGATTCGAACTGCTGAACTGCTGACCTTTCTGATCAACAAGCTCAAAAAAAACGATTGATCAGAATCCAGGGAGTGAACAGAACGAACATTTAATATTAAGTTCTATCGTATGGTTTGAGAGCCAGTTGATCTAATAGTTAAGGCAGCAGGCTAGAAAGTAAGAGACCATGAGTTCAAATCTCACCTTAGCCATTAAAATGAGATTTGACTTTGGGCAAATCATTCCCTCTAAGCCCAACTCACCACACGGAGTTGTTGTTGTTGTTGTTGTGGGAAAAATAGGAGGAAGAAGATGTGAAAGGCCTTTGGTGCTTTCTGAGCTTGATTGTTTTCTTGCAATGCTTTCATTACCCAAACTAGGTAACATTACCAGTACTGGTAGAGAATGCTCTCAATTTATATTCTAGTGGCTTGCCCCGTCAGTGTCAGTGGGTTTTGGTGGGTTTTTTGGTTGAGCTGTTTACTGTGGTTGTGTGGCAGTTCTTTGATTGGGGTATTTTTCACTTCTTGATTTCATTTCATTGGGGCACCTACCATCTGGAACGGGCTTCCCCCGGAGTTACGAAACATCCAAGACTTACGCATATTCCGCCGTGCCCTGAAAACATTTCTATTCCAACAAGCTGGTCTGGCCTAACTCTCCCTTTTTAATTGGCTTTTAAACTGGCTTTTAAATCGGGTTTT